CCTCTGCTACTACCAACTGAGCGGCACGAGACACTGTGGGACAGGCGCCGTGTAGGGACAAACGGCGCAACAACGCGTAATCTTCTATGACGCTCAAGAAACACTTATATTAACAATTACAAATTAATCATAAACAATCATAAACAGTTACATTACATTTCTTAATGTCCATTCGTCAATGGATCGTACATTTTGTCTGTCGTAGTCTTGTTGACGAAAATCATTTTTTGTTTTCGTCATATTTTTTTTTTCTGGAATCATTTTTTTTTGTTATCGTCTCGTCATAGTCACGGGAAAAAGGGGCGTTGACGAAATATTTTGGTCATCGTCATGGTTGACGAAATTAACACTGTTCAGAGTAGTAAAGTTTAGGAAGTTAAGACCACCTTCATGGTACGGATTCATGAGAGCAGGTTTTTTTTAAAATAGTCAGTCTTATTTCTCCTTATGAAGGTAAATAACATTTTGTCAATGTCATTTAGAAGTTGTTTCTCTAAATGGAGAGATAAAGCTGCAAAAGTCAGACGTGAAAGTCTCTCTGCCTTGGTTATTAAACTCTCCCTTTAAAAGAGAGATCTCTTAAGAGCCATTAATTTAGCTTTATTTGACTTTTCTGAATAATGGCTTCACAATTTAAGGATGCTCCTCTTTGTTGATCTTTAGCAATTATTATACCCAAGTACCTCACTTCATCTTTAACCGTTAAATTACAAATGGAGCTGGTGGAGCATTCCTTTATAGCCATGAGCTCACATTTGTTGACATTTACATATAATCCAGAAGCTCGTGAAAACTCTTTTAATGATTCCAAAGCAATAGCGACCTGATTTTTATCTTTCAAAAAGAGAGTTGCATCCTCTGCAAGTTGAGTGATTATAAGATTTCTATCTAAGAGAGGGATGCCTTGAATATCATTGGATTTAATATGGTCTACTAAAAGCTGAGTAATCAGTAGAAAAAGGTAAGGAGAAACTGGGCATCCCTGTCTAATTCCTCTTAAAAGATCAAATCTAGAACAGGTTCCACCAGTTAACTTTACCGAGCTATTACAGGTATTTTGTACAGGGTTCTTACAGACGATGAAAAATAATATCTGAAACCAAATTTACACAAGGAGTCTAAGATGAACTGATGTCCCACAGGATCAAAGGCTTTATAAACTTCTACAAATAACAGAAATCCATCATCTTTGAATAGATCTAAATAATCTAAAATATCTAGCACTAATCGTATATTGTTGGTTATGTGTCTGTTGGTCATAAAGCCTGATTGCGTTTCTTCTATTATGGAGTTTAAGAAACACTTAAGCCTTTTTGCAATGGCTAACGCAAAAAGTTTATAGTCATTATTAAGCAAGCAAATGGGACGCCAAATGTCCAGAAATAAACAATCTTTATTAGGTTTGGGAATCAGTGCAGTCAGTCCCTGAGTCATTGTGGTTGGGAGACTTTCTTCACTAAGACTCTCTTTGTAAACTTCAAACAGAAAAGGAGTCAGCTCAGAGGTGAATGTTTTGTAAAATACTGCTGTTAGTCCATCAGTTTCAGGAGATTTGTTGTTTTTGAGAAGTTTAATAGCATTCAATACCTCTTGCTGTGAAATAGGTTGATCACAAAATTCCTTATCAATTTGACTTAGCGTCTTGGTTGAGACGGACTTCATGAAGGAGTCTGCTGAAGCCTGAGACAAGTTTGATTCATAAAGCTGTTTGAAGAAATTTGAGCACAAATGAGCTATTTCAGTGTAGTTTTCATTGATAATTCCATTGACAGACGCACCATCCACATCTAGTGAAAACTAGTGTCATTGGATGAGTCATATAACGCAAACAATCATTGGTTAGCTAAAGGAAATCATCACAAGCAAGCAGGTGTTCTTCAAACTATAAAGACGAATTGTCTATGTTATGCTACAATGTGGGATTCAGAAAAAGATGCTGAAATGTCTGAAAGGTGAGAAAGGCGAGAGCGTATCGGGAGATGGAGATCAACAAGGCCTCCCTCATCCTTGGCCCTATCTCAAAGAATTTTTCAAAGTAGTCGAAAAATTGAGCTTTCAGTTCATATAGTGGCATCTGGCTGTTTTTTTTTTAAAGGTTACTTTATACTTTTATACTTCAAGCAGTTTTTGGAGCACTAGTTTTTCACCTTTACTTGAGTAAAGAGGTCAAATTGATACTTCAACTTCACCAGAGTGTTTTTAAACTGCAGTATCTATACTTCTACTTAAGTAACAAATGTTTGAACTTTTTACACCACCTGTTTTTAGAACCTTACAAAGAGGTTTTCCATGAACTAATTTTAATCTAAGTAATATTTGGCTCGTGATTCCACTTAGCACTGCATCCTGCAAAAGAAGTTTCTCTGAACTTAAAAGAACAAAAACCCTCCCTGAGTCAGCAATGGCTGATGATAGACTTGGGCATACTTGGTGTTGATTCAAGGAGGGCATATTTCCTATTCATGGAAGTCTTTGTAAAACATTTGGCTTCATCTCACCAGAACCGCAAAATTTTGCTGTTCTGCTTGTTTTTGTGATCTTGGTGTTGTGATGTCACTGGGCAGTGGTCAACTATAGTAAGTTTTAAAGGGTTGTGTGTTTGTTTTTTGTTTTGTTGTTCTATTATTCTTCTCGTGGTACACATTTAAATCTGCACAACTGCTTCTCCTGGCTTGTTTTAACGGGTCCTATTTTACCCCACGTTTTTGTTTACTACTGGATTTGATTAGTCTAAGGGGCACATTAAGTACTTGTTTATTCTATTTTTGCTGAAAATGCAGAAAATGGTTATTGTTTGTAGTGTAACTGTACCCTTTATATATTGACCTCCCCATTAAAGATGACATACCACCCCTGTTTTAAAAGTCTAGCCCCAGCCCTGGGCTTATCCTCTTCAGGCTGGAGGATAGTTCTTGCCTCAAGCGGAGGAGTTCAAGTATCTTGGGTCCTGTTTCTTAGTAAGGAGAGCATAGAGCTGGAGAGCTATAGATGAAATGATGCCCGACGAGTACTTAATGGGTTCCTTCTCCCGATTAAATGAAATTGCATGACTGTATAATTTTAAAAATGTGTGCAAATGAAAACTTGAAGAGAGGTGTGAAAGGAGGAAACTTCTCTACATGGTAAAAACATGAAGGCCAAACTAAAGTTTTAACTCAGACTTGGATTTTGTTGTGTGATGTGTGTATTTTATGTTTCCCCTATTTTTCTATGCCTTTCTCCGAACCCCTGCAGTAGAACAAATGCTTGTAGAATAGCACTCAGTGGCAGTTTAGAGGATTAGCATAAGAATAGGGTTTAGCTGCTGAAAGGCCAGTTCTTCATTTATGTGATTCTGCTGTTCAGGCTCTGTCATTTTCACCCGTAGCTTCTCCAAACACACAGCTGGGGCTCAACTAATTGAGCGCTTTGTTGTTAATGACTTCTGTTTACAGTTCATAGTATTTTTCACTCATAAGGACATGGAGAATAACCAAACATTTCTGTACTTTGCATATGGTAGTAACCTACTGAAAGAGCGTCTGCAGCTCAGGAATCCTTCTGCAACAGTGCACTGTGTGGCAAGGCTCAAGGTATGTTGTTAAATACCGGTAGCATCTGTTTTTACCTAATGGAAAAATAAGCCTGATGAATGATTTCTGTTTCTTTTTTAGGACTATAGATTGGTTTTTGGTAACTACAAAGGCCTGGCCAGTGATCGCTGGCATGGGGGTGTGGCCAGCATAGAGCACAGCCCAGGGGATGAAGTGTGGGGTGTAGTGTGGAGGATGAACATATCTGATCTACAGTCACTAGACAAGTAAAAATTGATCATTTGTTTGTATTTAAATGTAATTTGGGTATGTCTGCATGTGTTTCAGCTTAAAAAAAATGTACACTCTTGTGTGCTCACACATTCAGTCAAGAGAATGTGATGTTAGGTGCCTACAGACCAGTGGAGCTACAAGTGATGACAAAAGGTCAGGAAATCAACTGTCGCACCTATATAATGAACAGCTGTGTGTATGCCCAGCCATCCCCTCAATATCTTCAGGTAAAATTTATTACATTTCATTAGTGCTGGTTATAACTGACCTGTTACTTCAGTAAGAGTCAGAATGTTAAGTCAAGAAAAAGAAAGTTAACATTTATGCTTTGTTTTAATGCTCGCCATGTACATACTAGTCTACTAAGCATTAACCCCAACCTTATGAGATGAAAATGCGTTTAGTTTTTATTCAGTCATGTTTTATTGTTAAAGGAAAAGTCGGGTCAGCAAGGGATAATCAATGGATCATTATACCTGAAACTAATACGTTTGCGGTGATTTAATGAATTTAGTAAAAAAATAAAAACAATAATTTTTGTTACGATCACTGAGTCTGGGAGCGGCCATTTTTGCCCAAATATAGTAGCCCCTCCCT